AGCTATGTGTAATAATCCGATGGGGTTCCCATTCCGCTATAGCCTTCGTATCTTTGAGCATTTTGTCTATTTGTTGCCTTGTCTGAAGTTGATTGAATTGATTAGAACCGCTGAATTTTTTAGTTGAAGCCAAAGGTTTTCCACCACATCATCCAACGGGACATAGTGATACGCTTTAATTCCCTAACTTTTGCCTGGACGGCCCTTTTGGGTTTTCAGTCCACCGGGAAACCCTTTTTTGCCCAAGTCGCCCTTTCGGGTCTTCAACTTGCCGGGTGTACATATTTTTTTGTTTTATCCCTAATTTTTGCCCGAACCTTTTTGGTTCACCGGGATGCCCTTGTTTTGCCTAGGTATGTCATCCTAGCGGGTCTCTTATGCGTAGTATCTTTTAACTATGTCCGCGTTTGCAGGATGCGGCAGGTCGTCACCATCCATGGTGGTTAAGATCATTGCCCCATCAGAGAAGATGTTTTTGATTATAAATGGTCCTTCATAGGTAGGAGTCCATTTGCCCCTGGGATCACCTTGCGGTAGTATGATGCGTTTGATCACTAGATCCCCAACTTGATACACTTGGCGTCTGACCTTCTTGTTGAAAGCCTTGATCATCCATTTTTAATTTATTTGACCATGGCAGACAGCGGTAAGTCTTTTCTCATTAATTAAGTTCAGTTGATCAAGTCGAGTTTGGATCCAATCGTCTTCGTTCAGCCCAGCATCCTTCATAATTCTTAAAGAGGGGATCTGAACCTCAATAGGCAAGACAACTTCCATGCCGTAAACCAGAGAATAGGGTGTTGCCCCGGTTGACGTGCGAGTTGTGGTACGATATCCGTGGAGAGCGAATGTTAGCATCTCATGCCAGTCTTTGTATGTGACTGTCATTTTCTGTATGATCTTTTTAATGTTCTTATTTGCAGCTTCGATAACACCGTCCATCTTTGGCCGGTAAGGAGAAGAATTGTGATGTTGAATCACGAATTGCTCACACAAGGAGGTGATCATAGTGTTGTTGAGATTTGTACCATTGTTAGTGATGATCCTTTCCGGGGTACCGTACCAGCAAATGAGATTTTGCTTGATGAAACGGGCAACAACATTCTTGGTAACGGAAGCTAAGGAAGCTGCCTCCACCCACTTTGTAAAATAGTCAATGCCCACTAGGATGAAGCGGTGTCCATTGGAGGTTGTTGGCTTGATTTCCCCAATCATATCAATCCCCCACATAACAAAGGGCCAAGGAGCCGTCAAGACATTCAGAGGAACCGGAGGTACGTGCACTTTGTCAGCATAAATCTGACATTTATGGAAAGTTCGAGAGTGTTGATAGCAATCTGCTTCCATGGTAGACCAATAATAGCCTGCCCATAGGATTTTCTTTGCCATCGTATGCCCACTGGAATGGGTGCCAAAAGTTCCTTCATGCAACTCAGCCATGATCCTTTCAGCTTCAACCTTATCTACGCACCGAAGTAACACAGAGTCATAATTGCGTTTGTACAGGATGCTATTACTAAGGAAGAATTTAGCAGAGAATCTCATTAAGAACTTCTTATCATTGACTGAAGCTCCTTCTGGATATTCATGAGCCTCGAGATACTTCTTGACTTCGTGAAACCAAGGTTGGTCCACTATTCTTCAGTATTAATCTCGTGACAGTGTGCTGGTTCTTCCATTCGTTCGATGGTGATCTGGGAGCCTTGTTATCCCAATTAAGTTTAAACATAGATGACATTGTGGCTAGAGCGTCTGCTAGCTGATTTTCTTCTTGCGGGAAATGCTCGAAGGTAATCTTCTCAAAATGTGGTAGCAACGTCAAAACATGTTCTTTGTAAGGGATAAGGTTTGGGTGTTTGGTGTCCCATTCCCCTTTGATCTGGCTGATAACCAAAGCCGAGTCTCTGAATACATCCAACGATTTGATCCCCAAGTCTATGGCAGCTTTGAGACTGAAGATGCACGCTTCGTATTCCGCCATGTTGTTTGTACAATTGAAGCAAAGTCTGGAAGTAAAGGGAGTATGACACCCTTCCGGAGATATGAGTACAACACAGATACCATTTCCAAGTGCATTGGATGCCCCATCAAAGAATAGGGTCTATCGGGATCCTTTTTTAGGTCCGTCATATGGCATGAATTCTTCACAGTTGTCTAACGTCATGATGTCTTCATCCGGAAATTCGAACTTCATGTATTGGTAGTATTCTACAGCTTGGTGAGCAAGGTGATCAGCTAGTACACTGCCCTTTATTGCCTTTTGGGTAGTATACTGTATGTCATATTCTGTCACGATCATCTGACATCTCGCTATTCTCCCAGAGAGAGCAGGCTTCTCGAAGATGTATTTTATCGGATCCATTTTAGATATCAACAAGGTAGTATGAGTCAGCATATATTGTCTTAGCCGGCGAGCAGCCCATGCCAAAGCGCAACAAGTTTTCTCAAGCAGTGAATATCTGATTTCACATTCGGTAAACTTTTTGTTCAGGTAGTAAATAGCATGCTCTTTTCGGCCAGACTCGTCATGCTGCCCCAATACACACCCCATTGAGTTTTCTAAAATAGTCAGATACATGATCAATGTTCTTCCCTCGACTGGTGGCATCAACACAGGAGGCTCTTGTAAGTATTATATGATTCTGTCAAAAGCAACTTGGCACTCGTCATTCTATTTGACTACCTGATCTTTCTTCAACAATTTGAAGATTGGTTCACAAGTAGTTGTCAGGTGAGAGATAAATCTGGCAATGTAGTTCAAACGTCCCAAGAACCCTCTGACTTCCTTCTCAGTATGAGGAGCAGGCATCTCTTGTATTGCTTTTACCTTTGCAGGATCTACTTCAATACCTTTTTTACTGACGATAAATCCTAGGAGTTTACCATACCGTACCCCAAATGTGCATTTGTTTGGATTCAACCTCAGCTTGTACTTCTTCAGTATCTCAAACAGTTTTTGTAAGTGATCAAGATGCTCTTCTTCTGTTTGAGATCTGGCTATCATGTCATCCATATAGACCTCTATTTTGTGATGTATCATGTCGTGAAATAGAGCTACCATGGCACGCTGATAGGTTGCCCCAACATTATTTAGTCCAAATAGCATCACCTTGTAGCAGAATGTGCCCTATTGCATGACAAACGGTTTTTTCTCCATGTCCTCAGGCGCCATTTTGATTTGATTGTAACTTGAGAATCCGTCCATGAAGGAAAACGCTTTGTGTTGTGCCGTATTTTCAACTAGAATATCAATGTGGGGAGTGGAAAATCATCCTTAGGACTTGCCCTATTCAAATCTCTGTAGTCCACACACATTCGCACCTTGCCGTCCTTTTTGGGCACGAGAACAACATTGGCACACTAGTGCAGAAATGACTTTTTACATTGGGTGAAACTGACTTTTTACATCGGTTTTGGGTCCGATGTAAAGTCAGGCGATATAGTAAATCAGATACTTTTTACATCAGTTTTGGGTCCGATGTAAAAAGTCCCTTTTTTACATCGGTTGTGATCTAAGGATGATGTAAAAAACAATTATAACAATATTTTAAAAAAATTGACGCAACTTTTTACATCAGTTAAACGTGTGGACCGATGTAAAAAGTCCCTTTTTTACATCGGTTGTGATCTAAGACTGATGTAAAAAACAATTATAACAATATTTTAAAAAAATTGATGCAACTTTTTACATCGGTTAAACGTGTGGACCGATGTAAAAAGTCCCTTTTTTACATCGGTTATATTATAAGCCCGATGTAATATATACAGTTTTGAAAGTTTTTACATCAGTTTGGAGTAATAACCGATGTAAAATGTATGAAATTTTTTGAGAATAAATTATTTATTTTCTGGATGTTTCCCTGTACAAAAATAATTTGTACCCATTTTTTCATATTTTTCCAATATCACACAGACTATATTTATGTCGCTATATAGATTTCATAGCTTTCCAACATCACATAGACTATATCTAGGTCGATGTTTTCATATTTTTCACAACAAACTTACAAATTGAACAATTGTATTGCAAACTTGTATTGTATCACAACAAACAAACTCACAACAAACTTACAATTACATATTCTTCATAAAACATACAAAAATATTCAACTATTTATAAGTCTTTTTCCAAACTTGAATTACCAATATAAAATCCACAAGTAGATGAGTTATAGCTTCGGTAGACAACACCAAAATCACATTGCCTGATAATAAATAATAACAATTAACATCAGCAAACAAAATCAATTAGCTCTCATCCAACTACGATCCATAACTATGTTCACACGGAGGAAGGTCTGATGAACGGTGTGCCCGCGGCTGCGCTACTTCACGGAGATTCCGAGATTGCAAGTTGCGCTGCTTCGCGGAGAAAGAAAAGTAGAATCAAATTTCAACGGCAAGGTGATAACTCTATCAAGTTTGATAGGTTAAAGATAAACTGTGTGTTTCTGAGAGGACCATTAACGCTTTTTTCGGAGGTTTCTAAATAGACAATTTCTCTAATGAAAAAGAATGACTAATTATACACAACATGTACTATATTCTTAACTTTATATAAAATATATACTATTTATAACTAATTAGACTTAATTAACCTCTCTAATAATAATAAATTGTTTAGTAATTAAAAAACATATATGAACAAAGTAATGGATTCATAGTATAATCTTCTAATTATTTTTCTATGTACTTCTAATTTTTTATAATGAATCTCAGTAACAAACAAAGAAACAAGAATATCTTAAAAACTTTTAGAAACTAAAACACCAATATTTGTCTTTGGAACACAAAAGTTGCTTGACATTGAGATATCAACTTACTCATGACCCTCTTCAACCTAGAAGCCAACATCTTGGAAATAATTCTATATAAACTTGCAACCAATTCCTATATATATAATGAAGTTGAACAAAATAGAAAGTTTCGTACCGAAATCGTAGTTGGACGGTGGAGGATGTTTCGAAGACGAAGAACGAACGGCGAAACGTAGGGGGTAGTTAGTACTTGCAAAAATTAAGTCATTATTAATTGTGGGACTTAACACGAGCAACAAAAGGAAACAAAAACACAGAACCAGGGAATAACATGGAAACATGGGATTTAATACAGACATTAAAACATCTTAAGCATTTTAGACAGTTTCTAACTTTAAACCCCTAACATTAAAGTACATAAGACATGGTCACATGACATGATCATGTTCCGTTAAAAAATAGTGAGGTTAGCCATTTATACCTCTACTCCATCATCATATGGATAGCCACCATCCTCAGCTTTTCTTTTGCTTGGCAATACATCAAGCAGATCTGCCAAAAAGAGGTGTACAAGCAGAAAAGATTAAGCTTTGAAATAATTAATCCGAACAGAACATAATATGTTAAGAAATATATACCTCTATTGGTCTTTAATTCTGTAGGATCTTTCTTTTCTTTAGCTACCCCAAAAACATCATGGCACAAGTCTTTCATAGAAGTGGAAACCTGCAGAGACAATTCAAAATTCATTTAAATTCACAAACACCACTCACAAAACTGACAAAATCATCACATTAGAGATTCATTTTACATAAAAATTACTTACACTAGAAAATTCTGATTCAGAAGTACCACAAAGTTAAATTAGCTTAGTCTTATCAACTTTAAGCTGCAAAGAACAAGCATAAACTATGTCAATATAATATACAAGCACATTATGATATGTGGGTGTGCTCATGCGCATTCTTGAGAATATAGAGGTCATTACAAATGTACCTTTTGTTTCTTTGCAGATAAATAAAAAGCAACAACCATGAACATCGGACGAGTAAAATCAGCACTAGCACGGCGAGCAGCAAGCAACGAAGCAAGAAACATATCCTTATAACTGCAATCATTAAGAAATCATATCAACAACACATTATAACCAATCAATATAGTACTTTTGTATCAATAGCATTTCAACAAACACATAGCAGACGTAACTATAAGCATAAAATCAATAACTTACAGCTTGAGACCGTCGCGAACATAAGGTATAATCCTCACACAACCAAATCGAATAGCCAATTCTCTCACATCAAGCTTCAACCTAAAACACCAAATTCATCAATTAAAACTGAAAGACATTAAAGGTATAAAACAGAAAAGATGAATTAATAAAAATGAAACTGACTTGACACCAATGCCATTGTGAAGTGAATTGTAAGATCTGATATAAGCTCTCTCAGACATTCCACTGAGTTTCACTGCTGAAGATCGATCAAAGAGAACACCTAGCCTCGTTGCTGCAATCTCCATACAGATGATAGCTTTGGCAACTTCGCCCTACAACAAAACAGTTATAAGATAACAACCAAACGGTCATAAAATGTAACTAACTAAAACGCGGTTAGGAAAACGATCTTACGACGCCGATGATCGAGGAATCGAAGTGTACATCGCAGAGGCGACGGAGCTCAGCGGCTTTTCGGATGAGGAGTTTTGAATCGGAGAGTCCGAGTTTTTTTTTAGATTTCTGAGATGTCCATTTTTCTTGTTTAGGTTTTTCTGAAATGAATAGGGGAAGGAGAATTGAGAAATGGATTTAGAGGATAGAGAAATCGGCGATAATGGAAGATTATGAAGCGAGTTGGCATGTTAGTTTTTTATTTTTATTTTACATCGGTTTACAAAGGCCCGATGTAAGGGAGTTTTTTACATCGGTTAAAAGAATGGCCCGATGTAAGGTTCGAGCGTTGATGTTTTTTTACATTGGTTTTCAGTATGCCCCGATGTAAGGTTTTTAATATATTTTTTATATTACCAATCTGCCCGTGGACTTTTTACATCGGTTTTTAGTAAGCCCCGATGTAATATCTTGCCAGTTTTTTATTTACAATTTTGCCACCTTGTTTCTTATTTACAAAAATGCCACCATGTTTTTTTCACGAAACATTTTACATCGGTGGATTACATGGCCCGATGTAATAGATAGCAAAAAATATTTTTTTTCATATTATTTATATCATTGCAAATAAATACCTATGTAAAATGTTTTTAATTTTATTTTTTACATCATATATTTTGATACCTGATGTAAAAACCTTTTCACAAATGTCATTTTTTTAGTAGTGACAGCCCATTGGGGATAAGAGGTGACAGCAAAGAATCCAACGTTGAATTGCTTCATGACTTCTACTTTAATCTTTTCTGACATACCAGGCCTCATGCGGCGAACCTTTTGCTTTACTGGCGGACAATCTTCTCTTGTAGGCAGACGATGTATCACAATGTCTGCATCAAGTCCCGGCATGTCTTCATACGACCAGGCAAAGACTTCAACATAACCGTGTAACAACTGAATCAGACGCTCCTTGACACTGGGTTCCAGATTGGCACCCACCATGACCACTTTTTTGTCTTATTCGATACCTAGGTTGATTGTATCCACGGGTTCCTCGTGAGGTTAAATGGTTCTCTCTTCTTGTTGTAGTAGTCTTGCAAGTTCCCCTGGTACTTCACAATCTTCCTCACCTTCGTCTTTGGCTTGGTAGATTAGATTCTCAAAATCACAAAAGGTCATAGCAGTATCGTTACCCATGGGATCCCGAATGGATGTATACCTGCATTGTGAGTGTGGGTGTGTGTAAGGGTATAGCTATCTTTGAAAGAAAATAAAAATGTAAAATAAAAAACAATTAGCATAAAAGTTTGTATGCGAAAACGTACATGATTCATTGATGTCATATGAAAATGAGATAATAACCCTTACAAATGGACCATTGTGCCTTGGGTAAGACACAAGGTTTTAAGAGTGCGAATTGTTTTGATATTACAGATCCAACAAAATGTAAAGACAAATTACTGTGGGATAAACGTGATCGCGATAAAATCTCTAGCCTTCCAATTGCTGAGCCCTCCATTGACAGTCGGGAAGATCCAATCCTCTAGGTTGCAGCCATTTTCACCATCTTCTACCGCGTTGACTTCACGGTTGCTGATCTTTAGGGGTGGTCCTCCAGCACGAGCATGGCGTACAGCCTTCTGAGCATTTGAAGTGAGACCTAGACCAAACTTGTCAGACTTGTATGGGATATCTGGCAGTTGTCCCCAGATAGTGCACCCTCCTTCTTCTACCACTGCTTTGGCATCCTTCAGAGATGACATCCGGAGTGGAGGCCTTGTAATCTTGGGAACCTGAGACACAACCTTGGTCACTTCCACATCCTGGAGGACTTCTTCAAAGTGTTGAAATGGGGTTTCAATAAATTCACCATCTAATTCCACATGTTTGAAGAAATTGAGATGGCTAATCATGTACTCTTCCTCTCTATGAACGGTGATAATATTCCCTTGAATTGGATACTTCAGCATTTGGTGCAGCGTAGAAGTAACAGTGCCAGCATTGTGGATCCATGGTCGGCCTAGCAAGCAGGAGTATGAAGGGCGGATGTCCATTACATAAAAAGTTGAATTGAAAGTTTGGGTTCCAACCTTTATGGGGATATCCACTTCCCCATGCACCATCCTTTTCGAGCCGTCAAAAGCCCTTACTACTATGTTACTTGGTTTTAATGTCAATCCCTCACAGTCAAGCCTATCAAGAGCTTTTTTAGGCAATACATTCAGAGATGATCCAGTGTCTACCAAAACATGAGCCAGGATTGTGCCCCTACATTCAACTGAGACATGCAATGCCTCATTATGATTCCTTCCCCTTGGCGTTAGATCAGCATCTGAAAAACCTAGGCCATTATCTGCAGTTAAGCTGGCTACGCAATCTTGGAACTGATCGACAGATGTCTCTTGAGGTACATGGGCAGTTTTCAGGAATTTTACCAAAGCTTTTGCATGCGCTTCAGAACATAGTAGTAATGTCAGCATGGAGATTTTAGATGGAGTTTGCCCCAGTTGTTCAACTACATCATAGTCGCTTCTCTTTATAATTTTTAGAATGTCCTCCATTTCTTTCTTAGAGGTCTCAGGGATAGTCAATGATTGTGCCTTCGTCTAGACAGGTTCAATCAGAATACTTTTTCCTTGAGTCTCGGTTAACTCGGCAGCAGGAGTGTCAGTAGGAATGATAATTGGGGTTGTAACGGCTTTGTCAGTTGATGTATTGGTGGAGATGATTGTAGGATTGGGAGTAACCTTTGGAATAGCAACATGAATGATTACGGGTCCAGAAACGTCCTTTGGGTGAGCAATTTCTGTAGATAAGACTCTACCACTTCGGGTAATCATACTAGTCCCTGCAATATTACTAACGTCGGAATCCACTTTCTCATAACTTGAATCTTTGGCGGCTGGCTAGTCCTGCTTGATACCATGGTAGTAGACATCCCCTCCATAATTCCATGGTACAGTTTTGTCTGGCGCATATGGGACTGGTCCAGGCATTGTAATTATCAAAGGAGTTGCTTTTGAAACTGATGTAATTCTAACGGGTCTTTTGGTGGAGACCCTGGAAGCATTGGCGGAAATGGTGATGATAGAAACATCTTTAAAAGGAACTGGTGGAACTGAAGTCTTTTCAAACAAAATTTATTTGTTATCTATTAGGCACTGAACGCCTGCTTTCAACAAAGGACAGCTGGTTGGTAAGGACAAACAGAGATGGCAAACTTCATTACAGCCCGGGAACACACCGGCATTCAACAAGTTCATTTTAACAGTCAGAAGTGGGGTCATAAGTTCATCAACTGAAGTAACAAACAGTCCTTCTTCAATGGCATTGGTATTATGGCCATGTATGGGCATAGGGGTAGAAATGACATTTGGCTTTTCAGGCGCATCGAATTCAATCTCTTTTTCTTCAATGAGGTCTTGTATTTTTCTCTTTAGAGCCCAAAAATTATTAGTGTCGTGGTCGGGACTTTCAGAGTGGTATGTACAACGGGCATTGGGATGATAGTGAGGAGATGTTGTGTTGGGGTTTTTCGGAGCTTCTTTCAAGGTCACCAAATTGGATCTTAGCAGATGCGATAATACCTGAGATAGGGTCATGTTAATTCTGGTGAACTGCCTGACCGGTCTTTCCATCCTTGGTAGATTATTTCTTTGTTGATCAGGCGCAGGCTTAGGAATCTTAACAGCCCCCCACCATTGGTCGGCGTTCGGCCCTATCTTGGTTTCTTTGCGGATATACAACAACCACCTCTTTCTTTCCGATGAAAGGCTTCCTTACAGCTGCTGAAGAATATGTATCTTTCTAAATCTTTCCACTCTTTATACCGACTTCTACCCTTTCTCCGGTCAATATTAGTTCAGTAAAGCCTGCAGATAAACTTCCAATTAAATGATTGAAGAAGGGACCAGACAAGGTGCCCAAGAACATGTCTACCAATTTCCTCTCAGATAGAGGGGGTTGAACTCTTACAGCCAAGTCTCTCCATTTTTGCACATAGTCCTTGAAACCTTCATTGGAAACCATGGCCATACTCTGGAGTTGAGTACGGGTAGGCGCAAGATCAGCATTGTATTGGTACTTGTGATCGGTGGGAATGAGAACTGACTGTTTTGGAATGCTGGTTCGCATTTGCGTTTGTTTTCGCAAAATGTCGCGGTAAGCAAGAGTCGCCGCCGTCTTTTATTTTATCCAACAAGGAAAGGACAAAAGCATAGAAAAATTCCTTTTCGAGATGTTTCTCGGGTTCAGGAGGTAGATTATAGAAAGGGAAGGTGTTAGCACCCTTTCTATCCGTGGTTATCCACGGGCTCTTAGGTACTTGCTCATTGTGTTTTCAAAAATTTGCTTTTCTTCGTGATTGTGGGTTTGAAAAGAGTTTTTGTTTGAAGAGAGTGTAAGTGTGGAAAGTTTTGTTTTTGTTTTCAAAAGAGCAAGTACTTAAGAACATCTACCTACTCAAAAAGGAATTAAACTGTGCAAATGTCCTTTAGACAATGCTATCCCACTATTGAGGAGTAGGTAGCACCGTCGTTGGAGTTTTCGGGTCAATTCGATTTAAGGGACATGTGGTCACTAAAGCAATGTTAGGACGCCTTAGTGGTAACCCTAATGTCTTAGATCATTTTATCCGAGGCAACTGTTTCGAGGCGACTTATGATCTTTGGACAAGAGGGCGACCTCTAAAACTTCCTATACTCAATGACCACGTTCGAGGCAACCAAGTGAGGCGTACCCTAGGAGTGGCATGTGCAAATGTGTCAATTTTCAGTTATGTTATCTTTGTACATGTTATGGTGAGCTACGGTTGATTTTAAACTAAGATAGATCTTGTCATACATAACCTATTATTCATACATCTAGCAGTTAATGGTTGCGGAAAATAAAACTAAGCTATTACAAGGCGTTGGGTATTTACATCGCCAAAAACAAACCCTTGAAAAAGTAAATGCGAAAAGGTAAATAAAAGCGGTAAATAAAAGTCCTAAATTAAAGCTATTACATCCTCAGAGCAATTACAATATTGAAATATGAATCAAAAAACAATACGCGCGAGAAAAATTAAATCGGAGAGTTTTTAGGGTTTTGACCCTTTTTAAGAAAGAAGGAGATTTTTTGTTATTTTTTGAATTAAAGAAATTAGTCTAAATTAATAATTGAATTAATTAATTAAAATAAAAATATTTTTGGTTTTTTTGTTATTTAAGGAAATAAAAAAAATGGTTAAAAGTTATTAAAAACCCTAATTCTACATTAATTTTATTTTGTTGCAAAAATGTTAAAATTATACCTAATTAGAAACTAAATTAATTGGTTAATTTTTATTTACAAAAAATAATGAAATAGTGAAATTAATAAAAAAAAAATTTAGGTTTTCTGATTTTATTAGGAAAGTATTAATTATTTTAGTTAGTAGTTAATAAAAATAAATCAAGTAAATAAATAACATGTTAAAAGAAAAGAAATAAAAAAAAGAGGCAAACTCAGGGGGTTTGGGCCCAAAGAGGGTGTTTGATCAGCATTTTTTGAGGCACACTTGCTGCAAGCCTGCGTTTGACTTTTGTGATTTGCTATGCGTGTGCTGACCTGTGATCATGGTGAGGACCCCATTCTGGTCATTGGATTTGGTTTGAGACCACCTGGCCAGCATCTAGAGAAGGGCGTATGATGGACCCTCCTTTGAGAACTACACACGAATACCTGAAGAAAAAATTGAACAAAGTTTTGGGGGACCTGGGATTCGAACCCAGGTCCCGTTAGCCAATGAACAAACGCCCTAGCCACTGAGCCATTTGCTTGTTTTGTAATTATAATATACAATG